TTTTTTTTTTTTTACGTTTTCATTTTCCTGATCTTACTTTTTTGAAATTGTTTCTTTTGTCCTTTTGTCTCGTTTTGAAAACCCTATTACTACAACTGTCTTTTTCTTCGCTCAGTTATTTTGTTTCAAAGGGGAGAGATGCGCGGAATGTTAATAAAGTGGGAACCCCTGTAGATGTGCCATTTTTCTATGCCCTTAGGAACCTGGAGACGAGTTTGACTCAAGTCACGTGGTATTAATTTTTGGCGGCCATATCTAGCAAGTCTGTCATATTCGATGAAAGTTCGAGGTCTTCTTTTTGTTGTGAGCGAAACCTTATGCTCCAGCAACCATTTACAGTATGAAGACTTTTGAGAACAGTTCTTAACGTTTACGACGCTTGTTGTTTGGGTCAGGCAAGGTTATAAAGTACGGGGTAAGCTACAGAAACTTATGACGACTATACGAGCTTTTACTCTTTTGGAGGGAAAATTAGCTTACAGTTTGCAAGTTATTTTATTTTTTTTCAGAGAATGGATGATATAGAAGAATCTGTGAACGATTCAGTTAATCAGGACCAGTTCTTTGGTTCCTCAAAAGGTAAGACAATAAGATCTTGTATCAGTCGGCTGGCGAGAATGAAAACTTGTTCGGGTTCCGCTGCAAAAGCACCTTAAGCTTAAGTTTATGCTTAATTAGTTAAATTTTTCCAGCCCTTAAAAAGAGTCTAGTCATCAGTGTATTAACGATGTGTTTAAAGATGTGCTTGTCTTTTGCTTACATAAACGACCTGAAGCAACGGTTTATAGCTCATATTCTCTCTCTTTTTAAGGTGACGCCTCTTCAAATAATAATGTCTCTTCTTGTGGATCGCTATTAAATCAAGACCAAACAGCATCCTCTGCTTCAGTTGATGCTGAATATCTTCCTGAATCAACAAACGTGAGTCTTATACCATCTGTAGTGGCACTGAGTGATATTAAAGCAAGTTAACTTGTCATTTTCATATCTTATATCTAAGAAGTACAATATCCACGAAACAGATTAAAAAATCCCGCCAATCCTCCGAGTCAACTTCAGGAGCACTCATTTTTAAGCCAATTTATATTTGCGTCACCTGAATTAGATTAAATTAAAAACAAATCACTTGTTCTGTACTAAAAATATGACTTATCGATCAGTTCTTTATGTAGCTACTGTCAAGTATAGTTGCCTTACATCGCTGCAATCATCTTTGACAGAATTTAGTAATGACCAGTGATGTCCAAGGTGCTTCAAACCAAATGCTTCCATCACTCCAGGAAATTTCACAGAGTGGTCCCATGGATGTAGCAGGTATGATTTTGGTAAATTTATAATCATATAGTTTCATTTAGAAACTTATCACAACAGAAAATTTGTGAGCAAACGTTTGTACAAGAGGGCTTTTTGATTCACAGTTCAGATGAAAAAACTAAACTACTTCAATGCAGCTGAAGCTGTGAAAAAAACAATAAGAAGCATTAAATTAATATAGACAGAAATCACTAGGCTATACAAAAATATAAGTATAAGTTATTGGCTATACAGCCAGAACACTGTTGGAAATGGTCACAAGTGTCTGTCTTAAGACTTTATTAAGAGACTGTCTGCTGTACAAAGGGCACAAAATGAATGAATAATATTAAGAAACCCAATTCTAGCGGTCCAGTTTAGGGAGTTATTATCTAGTTGTTAAGGTATGAGTTGACTGTATTCTGAAGTGATGTAGTCTTTCTGGTAGCTTTTAAGAAGAATTATATCGGGTTTTCCTTTTTTTAGGAGATCACAGTGTGCCATGTAGTCAACCAGAAATTACTTCAGTCTCACCTATTGCGGCTTTGGTGCCAACAGCAAACCAAAGAATAACCGCACCAGTGCAGCTATCACAAAATCTTCCTCCAGAAAAAGAAGACTCTGAAAATAAAGTTTCCTTGTTAAGTGAATTGTCTTGTGTTGGTGATCATCTTTC